TTCGAAAAAATAGATTTTTCATATGTTTTACTATGTGATCGACAAAAATTACGTAGACTTTTGTCCAGTGAGTGTATGGCTGTTGAAAGAGCTTTTGGAAAACTTAATATTAATATGAAATTGTATCTAATACAAACTATACACAAGAAACCGACTATTTTATTTCCTATAAATTCGAAGTTTATGATCCAACTATGTCCAGCGTACAAAAAGGCGATGAGTATGAAAAGAGAATATACGATATCCTTGTAGAATCTGGATTTAATGTAACGTGGCAGTCGAGGTTTGTATCCGAAGTTACGCTGCCACTAGGTGTAAAATATTGGAGCAATGAAAGCACTACGTGGCCACAAATCGTAAGTTATTAGTCAGGTTATTACAGTATAGAAATCTAACCACTAGGTATAATCGGATTTCAATATTGAATTTCCGTTACTGAAAGAACCGTCAGCAGAGTTGATTCCGGGTTTTGTGGTGAATAGGATACTATACTGTCCCTGACATAATAGTGAACGTTCATTCTCCGTTGCCGACGAAGCCGCCAGCAGAGTTGATTCCGGGCGTGGTGAATAGGATACACTAACCATTTGAATTGAAAGCGCTTCGTGGCCATAGCTTATGCTATGAATGTTCTTCAAATGGTTAATAACTATGATGATGTATTTTACTCATTCATATATCTTTAATATCAGGAATAAAACAGATAATGGAAATGGAGATGGTGGTGTGGATCTAATCGTACAACTCCTTTGTTGTACGATTCTAATCCAATGTAAAAATTATAAAAAAAGCGTTGGTAAGATATTTAAAATTCGAATATCAAATAATATAAATAATAATAATTATTATTTAAAGGTCCTAAAGAAATACGAGAGATGATAGGAACACTCAGCATGGCCATAGAAAGCAAAAATTATTATTGTTGTATTGGAATGGTCATTATCATCGCATCCTCCTTTATGTATTATGCACGTAGGGAGGCTACAAGGTCTCCGAATCCTATTAAACTATCAATAGTAAACGACAAGAAAAATAATATAGTGAAGGATTTGAGAGACTTTGTTGATCTCAACCTATGTGCTCTCGCCAAAAAGGAGGGTGTTGATACTGTTCTACATAATGCAACAATGACAACACAAAAAAGAATTGGTGAGTTGGATAGAACAGTAAAGGAGACAAAGGAATTGATGGAAATAGCCATAAAAAGAGGAGAAGAAAGGGAGAAAGAATTGCAAATGAACTTGAGAAAAAGGAGATGTTTATTATTTGTTTGTTGATTTTAATTAGTTTTTCGTTTTTTGTTGTTTTATTTGTCTATTGTATATTAATATTAAGGCACTATGGCACATACTCAAAAATGCTATGGAAGTAATAGATAGTAGGACTGCTGTAGACATTACTGATGTTTGTTGTATCCTCCATAAGCTTTGTATTAATTGCTGTGATTTCTGGGAAAACATTGAAATCTGATGGAGTAGGAGATGACAATATTAATAGCATAGATTCTGAAATATCAGTTGACATTTATTATTATACCACGCATTGTGGTGAAGCTAAGAGAAACCAGCTGGTAAGTCAATTTTTCTTATGATGTGTAACAATGGTTAAAGTTTATTAAGATCAGTCACTGGCAACAGAGTCTACAATAACAAGTCATTCAAGAAAGCCAGTAGTAGTAGTAGTCTGCTGTTATATTCTCTGTTTTCATTGCATGTCTGTTGATATAATTCAACAACTATCTAAAGTATCACTTCTTTTTCTTATTTTGCTCAGCTTTCTCTTGTCATCATGCAAGAGTACTGGATCTTTTTCTATTGGCTGAACTGTAGACTTCATTATACACCAGATCATCACCAACTATTACTATTACTATTTCACAAATCTCTTCTTCATATTCACACTCCATTCATTCTGCACCTGTCCTTCTATTGTTATCTCATACTTTTTTACAATAAAGTGCCAGTTTCTCCCATCTTTATTAATGAATTTTGTCAGTTTAAATTTCATGTCAACATAATATGAATAGATTATTTATAATTACCTTCTTTTCAATGCTTTATCTGTTTTATCTGTCTCTCCTCTCATTTCTGTTTTAACTCATCAAAAATACGCCAGATTTTTCCTTTGTCATTAGTATGCCATGTATTGTGCAGAGTCTTGTAATGTCCCCTCATTGCCACTAATACTAAAGAGCAAGTGTTTCACCTCAACCCCATGCTCATCATAATCATTGCTTGCCCTTCATTTATTCTTTGAGATGACTTCTGAAGAACATCCAATCATGATACTATTACATTTTGACTGTAGACCATCATTGGGAACCACAAGTAAATCATTATTTATGATGGTTTGTGTTGCACCATGCATAATTTTTTTAGCCTCCCTTATTATTATACATTATGCTGCTAGTTTTTTCAATTTTTTGATATTATAATAGATTGTTAATGGCGGTATTTTATACTTAGTCAGAATGTGCATTTCTATTGCAAATTTGACACCCTTGTTCCAAAAATGTAATATAGCTTGACGTTGTGCTTGCTTTTCAGCAGAATACATTTTGAAAATAAATTATGAAAAAGTTACATAATAATAATACCAAAATAAACATTTATTATATATAAAACAAAATTTCGCGTTTGTTTTGAAATATTCGTGACGCAATTTAGTGTGCTTTGCTTTTTCTCTATTTCAGGGATCCAAATTGGGTGAGTTAGAACTGTTAATTTTTTTGTTACACACCGTAGACATGGTACCAGGCGGTAGAATCAGTGATTATTTCGGTGAGAATCTCGATCGTAATATTATCCATATCCTCGTAGAATCTGTACCAGAGGAGAATTAGATTTTTGTCCGTATTCGTACCATGTAATCGCAATATATATTCGCACCAAACTTTATTTTGTATCAGTCGTCGCCTACAAGACATTTTTTTCGTAAAATAGAGTAATTGCGCGTCGCGCGTAGGTTGATAGAAAAATCGCACGTAGTACAATAGATTGATCTCTCAATCAAAGCAGAATACACGACATTAACATTGTCATTTTTCACTAGGGGGCGTTTTATCATAATCAGAAGGGGTGTCATACTATGCATATGTTCACACAGTCGTCATATCACATACTTTATCAAGTCATAGTTATAATATAAATAGAGAGTGCATCCTAATAGCATTACTTGTCTGACAAAACAACAATTGCACCCAAAGATATACAAAATTTAAAAAGTATGTAAATAAGGATATCTACGGTGGGTGTGCTTACCGTTGTGGTGTCTGAGGAAAAGTTAGTTTATGAGCTCTTTATTAATATAATTGTTGCGATCTTCCAGAATTCAACGCTGTAGTTCACCCAAAAACAAAAAATGGAATGAAGCCGAATTACCAATTTAGAAAAAGTGAGCCATCGAACAATTCCAAAAAAAAAGTAATTGGTGTGCAAAAGCCAGAAACTCTGGAGTTTGTTCGATTTTGCAGTCGACTCCAACAGTGACCGATAGATGATCCAAAACTTCGTGAGATGCTCTACTTGTTTATCAAGAATCAAACTCAAAGGTTTACACTATTCCCCTTTTTCAACTTATTTTTTCCATTTTTTCCAACAGGACGCTTATATTTGGTAGATGGTCTAGATTCTACTCGTTCTAACCGAATGGCCAGCTTGGAAGCTAAACCCCACTTTGTAGAACCCGGAGCTCTAATGAGACGCGTTGGATAATTATTTAGGTAATCAATGACTTCTGGCTAATACTTCACCAATGCTCTTATTAATTTAGGGTCTCCAGATATACTTTCGACAACATATTGGACTCTATATAGTATTTCCGCTAGAGTTTTATTGAAGCGTTCCACAAGAGCTTATATGCACCAATTACTCATTATGCGCTTCCATTTATCGAGAAGTTTCGCCCATGAATTCTTTACCGCCATCTACATTGTAGAAGCTTCGGATAAGTAAGAGGATTCGATGGTCTATCATAAATTTTCTTAAAGGCTTTAGCAACTTCGGAACTACTCTTCGATGTTAGAGGAACACTTGCCTTGAACCTGCTAGCCACATCTATTATAGTAAGCACTTCTTAATGACATGCGTAAGAAATAAGAGGTCGTACTGGTGTACACAATTTGGTTTTTGAATTTTACCATAACTAACCCGTGGGGTATCTTTTGGCGATGTAGCGTATTTTTGCCATTCATTCTGGTTATGCAAACCATTCACAAACTTTTTTATATGGAAAATTATATTTTTTATTTCTGATAGCATTATTATTATACGATTTCAAGCATTGGAATGATAACCAGTAGGTCGGTAAAAAGCAATTTACATATTAAGTTCAATTCCTCATCTGGATCGATTCTAATAATAGACTTGCTCAATTTACTCATTTTCGATATATTTTACAGTCTATCGTGATTTCATTGCAGGTCTCGAAAACGATATCACATTGAAATTGCTCAAGTATGATGCGTTTCGCAAGTTATAGCAACCAATTAACACCTTATATTCAAAGTTTTTGATTTATTGGTTCAATACATAGAATTGAATGGTTTTATTGCACTTTATACATAGAATTTATTCTTATATTTACTCCACGTTTCCATAACTTATTCTATACATATTAATATATCCATACAACCGTTCCTAAGATTAATCATATAATTAACAAAAGTCTGCTTCTTATGCTTTGAATAAATTGAACTCAACAAACATGTCATTATACATTTATTGACTTACTTAAAGGTTTGTACTTATTTCGCCAACGTATAGCATAAGCATAACTCTCTCCCCACGACCGCAAACTATACAAGAAACAAGTATTGTAAGTGAGACATATTATATATGTGTATAACAACATGTATTCCTGTAGCATACCGATACAAATCGTGGAGAGCCGTAACAAACGATAAAAATGTGCTTGACCGCAAGCTTATCCACCGAAATGATAGCATAACCAATCGTCGCCAGAAAGAGAGGATTATTAAAAGAGAGTATAAAGTTTGTTTGTTTGTTTCTTTCTTAGCCAAGACAGTGGATGATTTTGATGTTGCAAACGGATTGTTGCTTTATAAGAAATTTTTTGGGGAGAGGAGGACACATGTACTGAATTGAAATCGCTTGTTTAAGAATAAACGAATGTATACTAACGCCAGTAAGTAAGTACAACATTATATTGAGAATTAGACACAATGTTATATTCATCAACAATACTACGCACTGTGTTCTCGGAGGTGTGTACTCACTCATTCGCGGAAACGTAATCAGTCGTACCGCATTATCAAATCTAAGAAAGGTTTTGTATTACAAAAACAAGTTTCCTGCTCCAATAATATTTTTCTTTCTCAGAGAGATTGCGTATCAGCTAACTCAAAAAAGTTGTTTGAACACGTATCATGACGACATAGACCGGAGTTGCTCAATAACATTTTCCCTTTCCGTCATTCACTTAAACAGGCTACGTGTCTGCGGATAAATTTTAAAGCAAAATGACGTTTTCTTTTACCGCATTCAACTATCAAAATAGGGGTTAACAAAGGTCATTTGATACGAGAATCACGTTTACTCTGCAGAAACATCAAACGACATTGTTCATCTGGCGTTTCTAATGTCTTTATTGTCACTATTTAGAACGGTTACGTGATCATTATCATTAACTTTTGTGACAAGCCAAGCCTTTTACTATGCTGTTTATGCCATTTCATGTTTCCTTTCCTTCTTTTCACGAGTAATTGTATAGACAAATTACAATTAGCTTGCTATTGTTAATTGTACTGAAAACCTTATTCAATGGCTGTCCTTCCTCGACCTGCAGCTTTCACAGGTAAATGCGCCATCAGGGATCTAAAATGGAGCCCCTTTGCGATAAAGGACTTGCATAGTCAGCATAAACAAAGGTTTGTTTCAATGGCGTTATTCCCACCGACACCTGCAAAACACCTCTTACGTCGTTGCACCATGGATTAATTAGGAAGGTCGGAAAAGCTGTCAGCACCTATTTTGTGTATGAAAAACAATGCGAGAATATGATGTTAATTGTTGTCATGCGTCAAGTGCATACATCGGTGGTACTACAGTACTAACTAAATACTCGCTGATGATATGACTATGGTGATTGGACAACTAAATCGTAGTAACGAAAGGACTCGAGCCTTTTTTTCTGTTGAGAATACAGTCGGATTATTAAACATTCAACTACAGTATTGCTTTTATTATTACTGCGGTCATATGCGATTCTATGGTAGCACCAAAATAATAACACAAAGGCATAATATTATTATTAGTGTTTGATCTATTTTGCTGGAATAACATTCGCCGACCAACCAGCGGTGGTATTACAATAACATTTTTATTGTCTTATTACTATGCATCTCTGACTAGACAGTGAACTATTTCTCTTGCCGGAATTATTTATCTGATTTGACAGACGTTATATTGTAAGTAGAAATCACATTGATAATAATAAAAAGAGGAGAATGCAGTCAATCAATCACTGATACCGAATTAGGGAAAAAGCAACTTGACCCACCTCAACAGTTGATGTAACTTTTGGCATACAGTTGAAAGCTGTTTCTCCGGTCTGAGGCTTTTAGTCAGCATTTACTATAGCAAAAGTCATGTGACATGCAACGGCCTTTATTATGTTATCAATTCCCAACTACTACTACGCGGTCCCCTTAGCCGTATCGTAAAATTTGATTAAAAGAAACTCTCAACTACTGTTCGACCATTTTATCCTCAAAATGGTGAAGATTAACTAGATTTTTTATTTTGATAAATTCTGGTTCTTATTGATACAAAGAATTTAAAACTGTGTCGATTGACCTACTGGCTGTTTTATTACTTATTGTTTTTAACTTTTTCTATCGTTTCAGCTTCACTTTCGCTACTCATCTCCCCGCGATTTACTAATCTATTACATTTTATCAGTAGGTCCAATTATTCTCGTCTTCATACTTATTTGCTGAAATGTTAGCATTGTTCGGCGATTGTTTGAGAATTCCAGAGCTTTTCTTCGTCATTATGGTTACTAAATGAAAAAAGATATCGAATAAAACGAAAGACTTTACTTACTGTATCTTATGAGAATTGTATCGTAGTGTTCAAAACTGACTCTTCGGAAACAATACCAGTCTTTCGCCAGCAGTTACGTATTGTTTGCGATAATACATTAACCCATGCTTCTGATGCATTTACTAAAGCATTATACAGCATATGGTATAGTCGACAAGTACGTTTCGAAGCGCCGTTTTGAAAATCGTCGTATGCCCTAATTTTGTGTTGAATAAATAAAGTTCTATATTTACATTTACATGAATTAATTATTCCAGCATCGCAAGGTTGACGAAGGATGTGGTATTTGGAGAAAAAAATTTAACCTCTGCACAGTCCAATTTTCTCTGCTATTTTTTCAGGAATTATATTGGCAACCAGTAATAAAATATTTCTATTTGTTTTTTCATATCTTTCTTGAGTTTAAAAAAAAATGTCGTTAAAAATGCTAATTGCATCCATGCCGACTCGATCTAGCAATAATAGTTAGCATACACTTTCCTGAAAAGCAACAGTAATAATATTACAAATTTAAGAGTTGGCCTCAATAAATTAATGCTAGTTACATCCTGACGTAATATTAATCTAAAATTTACTTTACATAAATTTGTGTATAACTGTGATAATTAAATGTTCGTAGATAAATTCGGTAACTTTAAGCTCTCATTTATTTCACATAATCAAATGTTTATTTTTGTTGTAGCATGCCCCATATAAATTTTTGTGACCAAAATTAGCGAAATTGACTTTAATATTTAATTGCAGTTATCTTTTGTCTAATATAAATAATTCATAGTGC